GTACGTGATCATTGCTCTCCACAACTTCCTATCCTTTAGAGCTCTAAGCAATATTTGACTTTTTACTACCCTCACCAGACCTTTTACTGCTTCCTAGCTTCTTCAGGACGTAGGCTATTATGGCTCTCTACAACTTCCTATAATTTGTAGCACTAAGCAATATTTACCCTATAACTAACCCCACCAAATCTTGTACTGTTTTCTATCTCCAACAGGTGATCATGCTTCTCCACAAGGCAACAAAGTCACTAAGACGCAAGGGGGTTACTGAGTATGAGAGGATATGAAAAAAACATTATTAAAGAAAGGCAACAATAAAAGTAAGGGAATAAAGAAGTCAGATGATAATAATTGACATTGCATTTAAATTTTGAAGATCAAAGTTGACTGGAAAGCAATTGGCCGGAAAAGACTTCCACAAGCGAGAAGTGCAAGAGAAAAAAAACTGTTAGCATAGAACTTACGGTTACATCTATCCAATGCAACTGTAATTGATGAGACCTTGCTGCCAATCTAGTAATGCTCTTAAATTCATAAAGTCTAGGTACCATAGCCGAAAGTTCATGAAAACAATTACCATGAAATTATTTATAGAATAGGCACAGGAAAGCTATGTTACAGCAGTGGGAAAGTGACTGAAGCCGCTAATTTAGTATTGCTCTTAAATTCATAAAGTTTAGGAACCATAGAGGAAAGTTCTGCTAACAACGATATATACTATCTTCTAATTGATAGTTTTTCTTCTCGCTTTCCTTTACTACATTGCCTAGATGTCGGAACCTTGCCAAAAAAAACATTGGCATCGAGAGTAGATGTGTTGGGATGGGCTGAAACTGATAGGATACTGAGAAGGTTGCTGGAGTTTTCGGAAGATTTGCAGTGACTCAAAACGTAATGACCCCTAAAAAGCTGTTGTGAATATGGGTGTCCACAAAGTCTTTAAACAATTTCAAAAAGGTCATTAAAACTTAGAAATGACCGCAGTTAAGTTTTTGTTGCATATTAATATGTTATTATTAAAGTTATGCTAATGATATTGATAGTTTGACACCGGCTCATTGTGGGAAGAAATGTCCACGGATTTTTAAATGAAAGGTTTCCAGATTGCTAGATAGGAAGAGTTAATGTTGGCTTCACACTCCACATGTGGGACTATACGAAAGATATTACATCCCGCAGTAAAGTAAAGGATTTGGATATGGGAGGAGACATTTCATCACCCTAGACTCAAAATGAACTGCAACTCACCACCAGCCTACTCAGCACGAGGGCAACTCAACGCGAACGTCGAATTCATAGCTTCAGACCGGTGTTGGCTGCCATAGTGTGCACATCTCTTAGATCGGCTTTGAGTCGTAGACATTTTGAAAGTTTCGCAGTTTGTCTTATTGATTGATTAGGCTGACTGGTATTTAATTTTCAAACTTTTCATCACACCGAAAATGGAAATTCTTAGTCAAAGAGGAAAAGAAAAAATTGTACACAAAGGCCATTTATTTGTATTTCATAAGTTTAGTAAAAGAGAAATTAAAATAAAATTTTGAAGTTGTAACCAAGGCTCGAGGTGCAATGCAAGGATTCGTACGAAGTTTGGAGCAGATAACCAGGAAGTAAAGAAGCATTCCTACAATTCGTCAGCGGCCAATGTAGAAGTGGCAAAAGTATTTTAAAAAAATGTTCCTTAATATTTGTTTTTAAAAAAATCGACGAAAAAAAATCATAGTTTGCATGCCATTGGTTTTGCATGAGTAGACTGGTGGTCAGTTGTCCTGGAGTTGAGTTGAGATGACCTTAAGCAAAGAATATCCGTGGCCATTGCGACTATTGATGAAAGTTGTCAAGAAGGGCACTGTCCTAGGAAGGGTTTTATGAGATAGGTGGTTGCTTATGCAGCACATCTCCTCTCTGCACGTCATCGATGTTGTCCAAAGGAAAAGTAGAGTCCAATACAACTTGGCACCGTCGTCATCGCAGGAGCTGCAATCACATAACATCGGACTGTCTTAGGGACTCTGGCTCCGGATTTATCCCTTGCATTTTCCATGATTGGGTATGATCACAAGGCATCAGAGGTTTAACTTTAGTGTTTTCCTTCTCTTGGATGGACTACCCTCCAAGGCTGACGAGTTCCATCTACCCAAAAGTATATATATATATATATATATATATATATATATATATATATATATATATATATATATATATGTATGTATATAGGTATATGTATATCGTCTATTTATATATAGGTATATATATATATATATATATATATATATATATATATATATATATGTATGTAATATGTATGTATATGTAATATATATATCGTATGTATATATATATATGTATGTATGTATGTAATATGTATATATGTATGTAATATATATATATATGTATGTATGTATGTAATATATATATATATATATGTATATATATATATATATGTAATATGTATATCGTATGTAATATATATATGTATGTAATATATATCGTGTTTTTCATGTTTAATTGAATATGGTCTAATGTTAATTATGTTTTATGAATATGTCCTGAAGATGGTCTATTAGACCGAAACGTCCGACGTTGACATTATATTAACATTAAAACAGCATAATTGCATATTAGGATTTTTGTTTGTTTTTTCCGTATATTTTTGTTCATATATATATATATATATATATAATTATTTATTTCACTTGAAGATGGAACAGAGCTTGGTATTTTAATTCAATTTAATTCAAATACTTATATTGAAGTTTTCGGCTCTTGTTTTGAAACATGAGAACTCTTATGTAGTGATGGAATCATATTTTGAAATCAATAATTACATTTAGGCTCTACTTTTTTTAAGAGCACTGTTTTTTTAAAAATAATAATAAAAAATACTAAAGAACTTTGGATTATTTACCTAACGAGTTCTTTTCTATTTTCTATATATTTTCACACACACACACACACACACACACACACACACACACACATATATATATATATATATATATATGTTGACTTCTATGTTCACTTTTATATTTACACACGCTCTATCTTTGATATTGAGCACTTTATCCCATAAATATACACAGCTTAAGACTATATATATATATATATATATATATATATATATATATATTACTGCGCTCTGGAGGGGACACTCTTAGAGTCGCCTCACTGTAAATCACGGGAAGCATGGATGACTGTCGCCTCCCAAAATGATTGCTCTATGGCGAGCTATCCACAGGCAAGCGCCCACTCGGCAGATGCGTTACAAAGCCACGTCGAAGGAGTTCTCATTGTGGCATTCCCTATTCCATATGGGAAGAGTCTGCTGAGGATCGTGTCATCCTTGTAAAGCCGGGAGTGTCTGATTTTGAAGAGAAAAGAATGAGGGACAAACAGCAGTGGCCCCAGAAAAGGAAAGATAAAGAGGGCTCCGCCTCCCAACCTGGTTCAGCCCTCAGCATCCTATGTCACAACTGCAACAGACTTTTCAGGGAAAAGATAAGAATCATTTGTCACCTCGCCCCCCCCCTACTTAATTCGAAGTCAAGGTCATCTCCGCATGCGTAGGACGAACATAGATGCGTACTACGCTCTGAAGTAGTCACTCCTAGAGTCGCCTCATCGCGACGGCAAAGCACTGGAAGCAACAGTCTACCAATGGGAATATTCCGAAGGTCCTTCTCTACGGGAAACTGGCCACCGGCAAGTGGGCACGAGGGCGATCTTATCTTTGTTTCAAGGACGTCTGCAAAAGTGACATGCGCGTGGTGGACATGGGCATCGCGAGGCGGCAAGAAGTTGCCAATGATCGCTCACGCTGGAGACGCGATTTTCACCGATGGCTGGAGCGAGGAGAGAATAGACGGAGGCCTGCCACTGGGGTGAAACCTGCTCGAAGGAAAGAAAACAACATGCATTGGTTGCAACCGAGACAATCACTCCCTTGTGGGCCTGTACTCCCATAACAGATGCTGCGCCGTCATCAGCAGCTGAGGTATAAATTTTGGGGGCCCAGATCTACGCTCTCTCAAAACCGAGGGATACTCAAGACATGTTAAGAAGGTCACGGAGTGCAATCGAATATCGCTTAGATATGCAACGAATGTGGCCCACATAGATATTTATTGACTATTTGTGTTATAAACTTCACTATTTACTTTAGATTATGTAAACATTTCAAGGTTCCGTTGTAATTTTAATAATGTTTACTATTTGTCTAATGGCTTCGTGGCCATAAATAGATAAATAGAAATTGATTATAAATAAAAAGAAATTGTAAATGGACGAAAAAAAGAAACTGCGATTTTGGCGCAAAGGAATCGGAAACTCATTTCTCTTATATAGCCTTTTGGAGTCAGTGGTGTCTGGAGACTAATTAACTACTTTCATAACGTTTTAACTACAGTTATTGATCTACACGAAAATATAAACAGCTTTAAATCTTCAAATGTAATATTAGCTCCTTACTCTCATTATATAATTTTATTTACTGTTCTTTTTAATATATAATTTTGTCCTGAGGATAAGCGTCATTTTCTCGAAACAACAGGTGTAAACATCGCTATATTAAATAGTTTGATTTTAAAATAATTATTTTGATTTGTAAATTTAATCTTCCACATGATATTTACATCATCTTCAATTGCAGGATATGTATGGCTCTGATGAATATAGTATCATCTTCTTTAATATGCCATTTCCTTGCAAAGCGTAGTCGATCATGATTCCCCATTACTTCTCTTTTGCTGCTCTAAATAACATTTAATTCTGTACTATACCTGTTCTATACATGTACATAGAATCGTAAAGCAGGTTTACTAGCTGTTTCCGTTTGTTTCTCTTGCTTTCGATATACATTGTGAGTGTTAATTTCTCTAGGCTTTCTTTCCGCATTACATGTCCCAGAAACTTCAACTGTCATTCTTTTCTGGTTGTAAGTGTAAATGCCCGTGTAGTTCCTACTTGCTTTAAGACTTTTTCATGGATGACATGTTCTGTATATGGTAGTATCTATCTATCATCTATCTATCTATCTATCTATCTATCCATCCATCTATCTATCTATCTCATTTTGTTCATTATCCATCCATCTATCCATCCATCCCATTCTGTTTATTATCCATCCATCCATCTATCTATCCATCCATCCATCCATCCATCTATCCATCCATCTATCCATATCTCATTCTGTCTATTTATCCATCTATCCATCCATCCATCTATCTATCTATCCCATTCTGTTCTTTATCCATCCATCTATCTATCTATCTATCCATCTATCCATCCATCCATCTATCTCATTCTGTTCTTTATTATCCATCCATCCATCCATCCATTCATCTATCTCATTCTGTTCTTTATCCATCCATCCATCTATCTCATTCTGTTCTTTATCCATCCATCCATCTATCTCATTCATCCATCTATCTATCTCATCTATCTATTTATTATCTATCCATTCTGTTTATTATCTATTCATCTATCATCTATCTATCTATCCATCCATCTATCTATCTCATTCTGTTCTTTATCCATCCATCCATCCATCCATCCATCTATCTATCTCATTCTGTTCTTTATCCATTCATCATCTATCTCATTTTGTTCATTATCTATTCATTCATCTATCTATCTATCTATCTATATCTATCTATCTATCTATCTATCTCATTTTGTTCATTATCCATCTATCTATCTATCTATCTATCTATCTATCTATCTATCTATCTATCATTCTGTTCTTTATCCATCTATCTATCTATCTATCTCATTTTGTTCATTATCTATCTATCTATCTATCTATCTATCTATCTATCTATCTATCTATCTATCTATCTCATTCTGTTCTTTATGTATCTATCTATCTATCTATCTATCTATCTATCTATCTATCTCATTTTGTTCATTATCTATCTATCTATCTATCTATCTATCTCATTCTGTTCTTTATCTATCTATCTATCTATCTATCTATCTATCTATCTATCTATCTATCTCATTATGTTCATTATCTATCTATCTATCTATCAATTTTACATATCGAATCTTCTACTGCATTAGTTCAACGTTTTTTACGAATGATTGCGATTCAGCATCTCCTTTTTCGATTCCTCTTATAAATATCTCCTTGCTCGCAAACGATGGCGGGAATATGCATGGGAACTGACAGCGAAAACAGAATAACGAACTAACGTGAAAGCGAAGGAAACGGTAGCCATTTTCACCTTTGTTCTCACTTCGATCCCATGTACAAGCTTTCTAAATCTCGTCTATTTCCATAGTTCAGCCTATTTATGGAAACGTTGTCTCGGCTTATGCGACAAGAAAGCGGTTTGTTTCATTTATGGCTTATAAAGCAGACGATTTGAGTTCGCATAATAAACTGAAAACAAATTATAATATAAAGAAAAGCAAAACTATTCACGAACACGTGATAATCAAATGTCGAAACCATTTGACATTAAGCCTCCAAAAATGCATTCGCGACGGTGGCATAGCGGATATAGGAGTTACTTTAACATGCATTACTGTCATCTACTAGTTCGATCCCAGCAGGAACTGGTATCGCAGTAATCATTAATCATATATTTCATATTATCCACCCCCAGCCACTGAACACTCAATGACAGTCAGAGACTACTTGACTGTTATGTCTATAATAACACCTATATTAATCAAGAGGATTCTTCTATGTGCCGTGTCCCTACAGGACGTTGGCAGTCATGGGTCTCCACAATTTCTTGTCTCTTTTCGCTATCTCCCCTAATCTCTGCTCTGGCAACCATTTACGAAAGGTTATGTGCAGCTTTCCTCTATCACTCTTACCTTCAACGAGTGTTAAATTTTCTAAGCCGTCTTTCCTCAATAAGCACCCAAGAAATTTCAACTGTCTCTTTCTACGTTTCATTGGCCTTTTAGTTTCCATTCTTTCTAAAACACTTTCCTTTACATGTTCAGTTCATGGTATTCTCAGCATCTTTCAGTAGAACTACATTTCTGTTGCATCAAGTCTCTTCTTCATCTGTGAGGAGATTGCCCAGCATTCAGTGCCATATAGGAGGACCGTATTTAAATAACAGTCCGGTAGTCGATTCATTGTTTCTAACGAAATTTTCCTGTTTTTAATCTTTTGATTAGCATGGCTACTCAAGTGTTTAACAGAGTTTAGCATTCTCATTTTTCTTTTTTCTTATCATTCAGGCATATCGAGAGAATTAGCAATACGATTCGTCAAGTGTAAGACATGCCGAGCTCTTTAGACTAGCCACCAACCAATGTTGACTCGGAGATAGCGAGCTTCTTCAATGTGACCAAGTGAATAACAGGAAAGACAGAACGTTATATGATAACTAACTGATGTACTCATGATCAGGGTTTAAGAAAAAAAAGATGGCGATTGATGTTGCATTACATTTTTTTTTTAAGATTTTACTTATCAAGAAAATGGAATGGAGTTAGAAGTGGGGGGGGGGTGCGAGAAAGGAGACTGTTAGCGAAGAAATGTCGGTTGCATTTAGCTATTTCAACAGTAAAAATGGTAGAACCTAGTTGCCAATCTAGTCGCCCTCTTATATTTATGCAGTTGGAGCGCCAGGGGAAAAAAAGCTCGTCAATTGAGATGGTCCTAGAGTTATTGAGCAATGGGCGTTATATCTGCCCGCTCATTTCTTGCAGGACCTCAGGGTCAATATCATCGCCTACATCGAGGTGCTGAACACAGAGGTCAAGCCCTAGATTGAGAGGGTGGTCGTGCGCCTTCATGTCGGACTCTGCATCATGCTATCAAGGAGACACTATCTAAGAATTTTTAGGATCATGTCACACCTTAGCTTTTGAGAACCTAGATAAACAAGAGGAAAACTAACTAGCACACTCACAATTTCGTTGAAGGGCGGCACTGCAGATGTGCACACACACACGCACACACACACACACACTCACACACACATATACATGCATACATACATACATACATATATATATATATGTTTAGTGTATTGGGGAAGCGGATCATTATTTAAACATATATTATTAAATATAACAGACAATGAATGTCTATTATATCTGATCATGAGCCGTTCTAATGTTTGAATGTTTGCTTTAATTTCGGGTGAAAATAAAGACAAAAATTGTCCACCATTTGGATATACAAAACGACCCCCACCCAAAACGGGAACTTTTTAACAATCCAATAAAACCAAGAGTGATGGAAGAAAAAATATTTTATTCATAGTAATTAAAACCTTAAAATATGCCATTTAAGAAACAATGATGGAATTTTCATTTTTTAAAAATTACGTCCTGTAGATGGCGTCCTCCTGTACGAATGCATTCTTGAAATCTGCTGTTGAGATTCCTCATTGACTGCTGCAACATCTCAGCTGGGATACTGTGAATTTCATCTTGAATTCTAAATGGCGAAATGTTTTCTTGCTCAAGGTCACTGTCTCGCAGTGTTGCCACTTCTTCATGTCTGGCAATACGCACTTCAAAAATTCTCATTTTTTGGAGGTCACCCTGTATTTTATGAAGTTGGTCCCAAGCTTTCGGCTCACATAAGCCATCCTCAGACTGGTTATACAAACATGGAACAAAGATATCCACCGTCAAAGATGATATTTTTGTTATTTTGACACCGGAATTACAAACTCAGATCGTAAATTCAAAATGTGGTCCTATTTCATCATACAACAGAACCAATGTCTAGCTGTGATGTGTCGTGACTAGTTTGAAATGTAATTTTGTTGAGTGTGGGTTGCTTCGTTTTAATGTAGATGGCCTCCAATATCTGAAGGTTCTTTTTACTGTATATATGTGTGAGTATTATTATCAACTAATATCTGTCTAATATTATGTACATGGCTATGTTTTTCTAAGAAATGTAGCTTAATACAACTAAGATCAGAAAGGTGTCAGTTAAGTATATATATATATATATATATATATATATATATATGAAGAAAAATATACAGAAAAAACAAACAAAAATCTTAATATGCAATTATGCTGTATTAATGTTAATAATTGCATATTAAGATTTTGTTTTTTCTGTATATTTTTCTTCATACGGTCGGATCTATATCCATATATTTGCTTACGTATATATATATATATATATATATATATATATATATATATATATATATATATAAATAAAAAGAAATAACATTAAGATATATAATCCGGTGTTCTTATTGATATTTTTATTTTTACAAAATAGTGCTCGATGTAAATTTACAGAGCATTAATATTATAAATTAATTGATTTAGAATATGGTTAAATCAATTAATTTATAATAAATATATATATAAATCAATTAATTTATAATATATATATATATATATATGAAGAAAAATTCTGAAAAAACAAACAAAAATCCTTAAATGTAGTTAAAATGAATGAAATGTCGACGTCTGACGTTTCGGTTTAATAAACCTTTTTCAAGACAATATTCATTAAAATACAATTCATTTCAATATGACAAATACGATGGACATAAAAACACAAGTCTTATTCAAAACAGATAACTGAAAATTTTTAAAATGATCAGCCTTCCGTCTAACATGGTCACGCCGTCGTCACATGGGCGACGCTTTCATAACGTATTCCTAAAAGTTTGTGATTATTTTGAAATGAAAATGAAAAGAATTCTATTAGGTTCTAAAATTTTTATGTGTATGCTTGTCGAGCATCAATCTCGCTAAAAAAGGGGAAATATTAAAGAAACCAGGTCTAGTATTCACCGTGCGTGAGATGGATATTATACCTGCTTTTTTATTTTTTTTTTTCTTCATTCTGTCGGATTTATATCCATTTACATTTGCTTTATATATATATATATATATATATATATATATATATATATATATATATATATATATATATATGAATGAGAGAAAATGATATATACATTTTTATATACCAGAACAATGTGTGATGGGTTTCGTCATTTAGGACTTCATCAGTCTAAAGTGCTACTGATGTAACTACGCATGCGCACGGGGTTAAAGGTTACTTAAAAATAAAAGGGATACAAATATAAACAAAAAGAAACTAAAAGAAATTGGCTAAACTATATAGCTAAACATATTAAAAAGAAAAAAAATTAAATTTAAAATTTTAAAAATTAAAATTAAAAATTAAATTAAAATTTAATATAAATTTATATATAAATTTAAAATTAAATTTAAAATTTTAAAAATTTAAAATCTTGAAATTTCAGTGACCCCCTCACCTTCATGCACACCTGTAGTTACACCAATGTAAATATCATTTTAGTCCGATAAAGTCCGAAAGAACCAAACGTGTCACACGAAAGCAATTTTTTCTTTAATTTTTTAACATATATATATATATATATATATATATATATATATATATATATATATATATATATATATATATATATATATATATATATATATATATATATATATATAAATAAAGAGAAAATGAAAAGTTATCTTATCCGAAGAACGCTTATAAATATACTTCAGGCTAACTGAAAGTCAAGATAAATTATCGTGGATTCTAAGTGATATAATTTAATGCCTTATGAATCAAAGTGAGTAACTGCTTTTATTGTTGTTGATTTTAATAATGTCGTTATTATATATAAAATTTATTTTGAGAAATTAATTTATCTATTATATATTTTAAATAATAGGATTTGAATTTAACCATTTTCTTTTAATTTTTATGAATTTGTTTATAGTCATTTATATTGATTATATTGAGAAAGGAGTATATCTTTTAGGAAAAGAGATATTCGAAAAAATCCGGATCACTTTCAAAATTTTTTCTCTCTAATTAAGTTACCTTCTCTTTTAATAAGTATGGCATTCTTTCTATCAAAGTTGTGACTGAAATTTTTCTATGTGTCACTAATGCATTTGAGAAAGTGTTGTGTGTAAGATCCTTTTTGTGCATTGATACGTTTTTAATTTCTGCAAGTTTCTCCAATGTATTATGAGGAGCAGTTGTGACAGTTTATTTTACATATACCTGCTTCAGAATTATTACCGTTGTGGATATTTTTGTTTCTGATAATACCCATAATAGTTTTGAATGTAGTTGAAATAATTTTGATATTGATAAATTCTGTTGCATAGTAGATAT